TTAAGTTTTTCATCATGAAAGCATTAAAGTGCCTTTCCACCATTATTTCAGTTAGTTTTTTTCTTTTATTTATTCATTTGTCTTCCGATCATCTGGGTCGAATGCAGCGACTGCTACTATGACTGCTGTTGGTGGCCAACTGGAAATGTGACCCTAGGTACGTTGATACGTTGACGCTCTGGTGGATCTGGGATAATATCTCAGCTAAGCCCACTTTGGCTCAGTGACATATTCATGGGACATTTAGTGATGATCAAATTGGCCAGTTAGTTTAACACCAGACATCGCTCAACAAATCAGCGGATTTAATTGTATTTCACAACCGATAAAATTTTATGTTCAATTATACCTAGTTTTTATTCTAACGGGAGTACGAGTTCAACTAGGGGTATGTGTGCACTGTGTGCGTGCGCGTCCGTATGTTTGTGTGTGTGCATGTGTGTGTATGCGTGCGTTCATCTATGCATATTAGATTGGGCTTTTCCTAAGAACTAAAAATAAAATAAGTAAAAATAAAAATGAAATAATTATAAAAAATAAGAAATAAGCTTTTAAAAATATTAATCAATTAAAAATTAAAGTTAAAAACAAAAAAAAAATAAAAACTTGCTATTCCATCAGCATTGAACCACTATACAAGATTTAAGTATAATTGAAGAAATACAAAATTTTATTTTACATATTAATGTTACTTCATTTAAAGAATTAATTTTAAAAATTGTTGCATCATAAAAATAACGATTTTTAATAAGGAAAAGATAGATCAATATCGGAGATATTATATTATATATAAGTAATATTTAGCGTATGTTAGCAGAGGCGTCAACATATTATGTTGAATCTAATGTCCACAGAGTCTATATCTGCCTATCTGCCTATCTATGTAATACTAGCCTGTTCATATCTATCTATCTATCTATCTATCTATCTATCTATCTATCTATGTTCATGCCTGCCTATTCATATATTCCTGTTCATCATCATCTCTCTCTCTCTCTCTATCTATCTATCTATCTATCTATATATATATATATATATATATATATATATATATATATATATATATATATATATATTTACTTCCAAAGATTCGCGATAACTAAGGTTTAAAATGATTTTTGGAAAGGAAAAATCATTCTTGAAACTTTTATTTTAATTTTAATTTCAAGTTAATAGATTAAGTTTAATATTTCCAATAAGCAAAATACTTTACTGTATTTCAAAACTAATTCAAATTGTTTGGAAGGGGTTTTTGTTTTGAAATCGATATAATTTTAGTGCCATTTTTAACCTTCTGTCATCACAATGTAAATATCTTTATTAAAAATCTTTTAAAAATGAAATATACTTTTCTGAAACTTCATTTAAGAGATATTAGCTGATTCAAAGTTTAATTAATTTGATTTGAAACAAATATTACTTACTTTAAGTTGATAAATATCGCAGAAATGCATTTTTTAACACGGCAGTAGCTCTTTATTTTAGGAGAAATATAAGGTGAGCGTGTTTTTTTTATCATTTTTAACTACCCAGTAATCTTTCAAATCTGGGACTATATTCTCCGTAATCTAATGTTTTATTGAATTTTAGCTATCTCTTTATATTTACTATAATTATCGCTCTTATTTTCTGATAATGTCGTTAATCGATTTATACACACACCAAAACAAATTCAAAATTGTTTTTAAAATATTGATGTACACTGAAATATAGTAAGCTATTTCATTTCTGATTCGTCAATATAGTTTTTCCTTAATAACAATATCACCTAACTGGTACAAATTAAAACAGAAATGTAAAATATTTAAGAATTTAAAATTATTCGAATTAATATTTAAAAAAAAAAATGAAAAACAATACTTGTAAAAATTTATTATTCATCGAAAATCTTTTCTTCTTCCAATAGTGGCCATAATATATCTTATTCATAAAAGCAATTAAAAGCTTTTGGAATTTTTTCTAATTTCTAAAAAATGTAATAAAACTACAATATTATATTTTTATTGAATTTTTTATTTTACAGTTCAGAGCAGACCTTCGGTAACTGTGGTTCCTGTTTAACAAAAAAGTTGATGATTTAAATTCTCCAAGGACATCTACTTATAACTAATATAAACATTAAGTAGTACAAAATTTAATTTTTTTTAAATTTTGTAAAATTAAATAACGTATTAATTTATATAATATATGATATAATTATAATGGTGAAGACTTGTGCAGAAACAATCATACCTATTTGGAAGAGACAAATGTGTACTCAGGTTTTGAATTCAATATTTTCCTGATATATATATATATATATATATATATATATATATATATATATATATATATATATATATATATATATATATTTATTTTATTTAAATATTCATGGAGACCTACCGGACACTATTCGTAACGTACTTGTTGACAACACTAATATAACAGCATCATCTACATGCAAAAAAAAGGCTAAATATAATGGAAGCTTTATTAATAAAAACAAAAAAACAACGCTTAATAATATTAACTTTTAACATGGACACAATATCTTGACCGTGTATTGAAAAATGAAAATATTTTCTAAAACATACATACAACAAACTATTTCTTATTTAACAGTTAAAATATTTAATCCTTGAAAATGGCTAAATGTATAGACGAAAGCGTTCGGATAAAAAGAACATTTGGACAGTTTTCATGTAATTTATCATCCGAAAAAAAATTATTAGATCGCATAAGGAATTGTATAAAAAACTAAATAAAAGCACCTTGTCGTACTCAATGAAATATATATATATATTTATATATATATATATATATATATATATATATATATATATATATATATATATATATATAGGATGTATACGGAATAAATTTCAATAATATAATTATTTTTTTTTTTTAAATTATAACATAAATATGTTATAAAATCACTACAAAAATAGTGATTTAATTTTAAACTAATTTTAAATATATATATATATATATATATATATATATATATATATATATATATATATATATATATATATATATATATATATATATATAGTGTATTGGGACACAGGATCATTATTTAAACATATATTGTTAAATATAACAGACTTCATATGGTTGCTTTAATTTCGAGTGAAAATAAAGACAAACACAGTCCAACATTTGGATATTTTTTAAGCTGTTCTTTGATCTAAGCTTTCGGTTGACTTGAGCCGTCTTCAAAGTGGTTATACGGACATTTAAAGAAAGATATTCACCATCAAAGATTATATTCTGTTATGTTGACATAGAAGATTGGTATGCGACGATAACGATCGCGGAATAGCAGACGCTGGTCGTAAATTTATGATGCGGTTTTTTGACATCGTACCACGTGAGAGGTCGAGATATTAACAACAGAACCATATGTCTAAATGCAATGTAATGTATTGTGACTAGTTTGAAATATAATTTTGTTGAGTGTGGGTTGCTTTGTTTTTAATGTAAATGGCCTCCAATATCATGTGAGCCGGAAGCTTAGATTAAGGAACAGCTTAATAAAAAAAAAAATCCAAATGTCTTTATTTTCACCCGAAATTAAAGCAACCATGCGAAGTTTAGAACGACTTATGATCAAACATGATAGACAGTCATTCTCTGTTATATTTTAATATATATATATATATATATATATATATATATATATATATATATATATATATATATATATATATATATATCACTATGTATTTGAGTAGCAATCCCTCTTTTATGCAAGTAAAGTTAAAAACGACTGACAGGATTCTGTAGCTAAGGTTTTTTTTATATGATTATTCATGTGTTCTTATATTTTTTCTTTTCTGGATGTAAATTAATTAAGAATTGTGTGAATTGTTTTATACATCCAAGCGCTTTCGACTGTACTTTTAGCCATTATTAAGGATGAATTTTATTTTAACTTTTAACTCAATGTATTGATTGTTTTTTTGTTTTGTTTTTTTGTATGTATCTATGATTTATTTTCCAAACACGGTCAATACACTGTGGCCGTGTTCATAGTTGATATTACTGGGTGTTGGCTTTTTCATTTTCGTTAATAATGCTACCATTAGTTTTAGAGATTTTTCATGTAGATGAAGCTATTATATTTGTATTATCAACAACCATGCTTCGGATAGAGTTTTTAGGTCTCCCTGTGTATTCAAATGAGAACTAATTGAGCTATGGCTGGAGAGATGTAACGTTAGTCTTCTTGTTAGATATGTTGTAGTATATATAATATAATATAATATAATTTTTAATGAAAATTGCATATATATATATATATATAGTGAAGGAAAGATATTAGGAAAATATTTATATATAATTAATATTTGTTTCTAAATTTTAAGAAATGCAACAGTCTTCAATTATTAAAATATTTCTGTGTTGATATTATTTTTTTTTTTTTTTCGTTTTCGGAATGGTGAAATAAACAGTCAACAGATGAAGAAAATGAACGCGGAAATACGTAACCCGAAGCTGCGTTTCAAGTCACGTGATATCAAGTAAAATAAACTTTCGTTCCGGATTAATAACATAGAAATTTGCATGAGAAGAACAAAAAGTTTATGCTTATTTCCATTGCTACAGAACATTTTTTTTATTTATATATTAAAATATAATAAATTAATAAAAATTTTAAATAAAAACCACATTCTAAAATATATATTATATTTGATTGGATAAATCAATTATTATTTAAACTTTTTCTTTTTTAAATTAATGTTACACTGTTAAATACTAACAGATTTAAATTTTCAAACTAAAATAAATGAAAATTCCCATTTATTTTTATTTTATTTATTTATTACCAATGTTGGAAATGTTGTTATGGATCTTTAAAAAAGACTTGATTTTCAATCAATTTGTGATATCGAAATATATTAAGTCATTAAAATTGTCATTATAATATTAATGATAATTGTTAACTTAAATCCATTGATTTTTCTGAATGATTATTTTTTTTTAAATAGTAACAATTTAGAAATAAGTAATTAAGAGAAAGGAGAAGGAGGACGAATAACGAAAGAAACGAACGGGACAAGGAGTTTAATGAGAGAAACGAGATTTACAATAAAGAAAAGAAGAAAGTCTGAACCATTCAAATAAAGTAGAATATGAAAGAAGAAAAGGGGAGAATATAGTTGATTAAATTTAAATACATGTGTAAACGGATAGAGATAGATAGATAGATAGATAGATAGATAGATAGATAGATAGATAGATATGAACAGACAAAATAGATAGATAGATAGATAGATAGATAGATATGAACAGACAAAATAGATAGATAGATAGATAGATAGATATGAACAGACAAAAATAGATAGATAGATATGAACAGACAAAATAGATAGATAGATAGATAGATAGATATGAACAGACAAAGATAGATAGATAGATAGATAGATAGATAGATAGATAGATAGATAGATAGATAGATAGATATGAACAGACGAAAATACATAGAAAGAAAGAAAGAAACAAACGGAGAAAGAAAGAGTAAAGAAAAGGAGTAAAGAAAACGATGGTTGAATTCATTGTTCTGAACTACGTTTACTTGACGTTAATTTGTCAGTGTGTTCATGTAAGCTATTTTGCCGTTAAACAAGGACGAGTGGCCAGTCACCCAGCCGGACAGCCAAGATTTGGACGAAATTTACGATCCACTAAAACATAATTCGCCTTCGTGACTGGGGAAGAGTCTGGCTTTCTGTAATTTATTTACTCTTGCCTTTTAAAGACCTCATTTCGGAATGGGGGATGGATATTTTCAATTGAACGCTTTGGTTTCTTTGGGCGAGGTATGAGAATTTATATCGACAGTCTAGAATCGAAGAGATAGAAAGAATAAAAAAAAAAAAAGTTTCCCGGTAACGGACTTTGTTTATTGGGTGCCTGATCTTTTAGCATAGAAGGTTGATGAGGACGCGGCTTCTAAATTAAAAGAAGACATATTTGTGAGTTATAAAGACAACACCCTCAAAAAAGAATGTAAAAATAAAAATATAACATGTTAGACGATGAAAACTCCCAGTTAAAGGAACATATAACAGGTTTGAGTAAAGGCTACACATTTTGGTATAATACTGGTTGTCCGGATTGACATTGTCACTGATTAAAATCAATAAATGAATTAATATAGATAAATAATAGACGAGCTTCTGGAAATTCCATGGTGTATCTTTATAATTCAGAACTAGAATACAAAGTAGCTATTATATTTTTTTAATAAAATAGTTGTTTAAGCTCAGTCATCCGAGCGCAAAACGTTCACCGCAGGCCTTCCATAAGGTTCGCTTCTCGGTCCAATCCTGTTTCTAATTGTCATACATGATCTGCCTAAGACTATACTCTGATCACTTGTTAATATCTATGCTGATATTACAAGACTATATGGGTGCACCTTCAAAACTCTAGGTGATCAGATCTTGGCAACTGATCTCTCTTCTGACCGAGCTCTAACAGCTTAGCGAGGGGAAAACTGGCTGGTTACATTCAGTCTTTGGAAAACCAAACTAGCGATGACCTATCATCGTCGAGCAGACCAAAGACCGAACGCGATATCGAGTCTTCCCCCCAGGGAGGTCCCATGTCTTGAACACCTATTGGGACTTAAGCTCAACCCAGACCTCAAGTGGAACTCGTACATACGTTTCCCTGTACCGTTCCAGTACGTACCTGACTCCTCCTGATATCCTCTACCATCACAGGATCCAGACCAGGTTGAACATGGAGTACTCCTACTATATATGGGCAGGAGCTCCCCAACTTTCATTTCCTGTCTCGATAGAGTTTAAAAACGTCTCCGCGTCCTTGTCGGTGATGAATTATTTTCCACTCTACAATCGCTTACCCACAGACGAAACGTTGCAAGCCTCCCGCTGCTCTATCATTATTTCCATGGAAAATGTTCAGATCAATTGCATTCCTTAGTTCCACGAGCCCTAATCTTTACAGCACGTCATAGCACGCACATTTTAGCTCACCACCCTTATTCCCTTCGTAAATATTGGTGAAATGTACGTTACACTCGAGCAGCTTCCTACGAAACGCTGCTTTGTGGAACCGACTCCCATGAGGATGCTTCTCTGATCGCAATATTAAGCTGCTCAAGTCTTTGATCAACCGTTACCTTCCCTCCTTACCCCTGTAAACAGCGCCTCTTACTCTGTAATCCTCTACCTCGAATAGCTCTTGGTCCTTGTACAGGGTGAAAATTGCTGTAAAAAAAAATTAACTAAATAATATTATTTATAGACTTAGTGTTTTTTTAACGATTTACATATAATCTTATTGAAAAATTCAGTTGTGTGCCATGCATGATACACGCGAAGGTGACCATGTATCTTTCGATACATGACTGACAAGGTAGATTTTTTCCCGCAGTAGGTTGCCATTTCTTTATGCGGTAGACTATTTGCATTCCAAGGCTATAGAATCTAGCCTGTCCTGATATTTACACATAGCTGGAAGGAGAAGAGGAGGATTCATAACTTTCCCAAGGGCATGAGCACGTAAGTGAATGTAATGGATTAGATTGGAATTCGAACTTGGCTCTCCGATTCCTCAAACTATGCATTATTCCACCGTGCCTCCTCTTTTCAAGAACTTAATGAAGCAATATTCTCGTGTAAAAATATAGATCTTTCTTTTCGATTTACTGTGGTGAAACACTGGGAACAACTTGTCGCCGAATTAGGTGTCTGGGAACAGCCATACCCGAAAATAATTTGTGCTCCAAAATGATTTAACCCGCGGTCCCGATGCTTTAAAGGACGTCTCTCCGACAGCGCAAACACAGGCGACGGGCCCGGCCAGAGGAAATAATAGTATTTCAACACTGTCAAAGACTTGGCATTGTCACAAATGGTTTTTCAATCTAAATAGTTTTTTTTTTAATGTTAGTTCCTTCAGAATGTAAACGTCCATGGATCTCGATAGATTTGTTTTCCTTATTATTTGAGAATTTCCGGAGATTGCTGGAAAAATAGCGGCATAGTTTCGCGTTGCTCTCTAAGCTGTTCAGAACTCAGTTTTCTTTATCTTAGACTTGTTGCCAACCATGGCTAAAGAGTACATTCTACGTTTATCATTTGATACATTATTCGAACAGTTATCCTCGTCTTCATTGCCATATTCACAACATTCCGGCCGTTGTACGCTCCCGCCATCTTCAGGTGATTAGAATTTCGACCCGATCCTTTATTTCGTCCACCGGGTAGATCATTCTAGTTTCACGTGCCATACCTCTTCTGAATGTCTCAGTTATTTCCCTTAAACTCAACTATTCAAGATTTGGTTCACTACTGCTGTGGTCAGGTATTGAACTCATAATTCTTTCTGTCAAGTTACTGGATCTAACCAACGTGCTTTATCTACTGGGCCACGGAGCGTACAACGTTGTTAATATGGCAATAAAGATGCGGATAACAGTCCGAATAATGTAAATAATGCAATTTATGATAATGCCTTATGTCAGAGATATAAACAGATACTTCCATTTTGAGTTATGTAAATATTGCAATCTCTAATTCGTTGTTTTCGGGATTAATTCTTTTTGGAAAAGAATTGTCTCTGAACGATATAATGAAAAATGGACATTGAAGGTTTTCAAATTACCACAAACCGAAAAAAAATATTTATGTTCATTATTTACATTATTCGGACTATTGTCTTCGTCGCCATATTTATTACAACGTTTCGGCCGTTGTACGCTCCGGCCTTCTTCAGGTGGTTGGAATGTCGAACTGAACCCTTTATTTCGCTCACTGGGGTAGACTATTTCTAGTTCCACGTGCCATGTTTAATGGATGTCAGTTATCGGTTATCTCCTGTTAATTTTCCCTCTGAAAGTTCTCCACTACCTTAACCGGGTATTGAACTCACACTCTTTGGGTCCTGTCACTGGATCTAACCAACGCCTTTATCCACTGTGTATCATCTGGGTATGAATTTCTGAGTATTATAAACCTAATGTCTTCAGCAACAATTTTTACCAGTGCTCATATTGCAATTTTGCTGTTATCATCGCTTTTCTCTGGCACTTCTTATTACTGGTTCCGGAGCGTACAACGGCCGAAACGTTGTAATAAATATGGTGACAAAGATGAGGACAATAGTCCGAATAATGTACATAATACCTCATCTCAGAAATATAGACAGATATTTATGTTCATCTTTTAGAATATTTTGCAAGACCAAAGAATGATGACATTTATTAAAATAGACGTTTTTACATATACGGTTTATATATATAATAAATAAGTAATTTATCGAGTCTAGAAGAAACCTCAACAGAATGCAGAAGACACTGGACGACCGTTTCGTCCTATATTTGAGACTCATCAGCAGCGCGCATCCACTACAGAGAATTGAAACCTGGACAGTCACATTATCAGACAAGCGTCATACCCACTGTTACAGCTGGCCTCGGTGATAAAGAGGTAGCGAATCAAACTCGATATAGCGCTACTCGATCTCATATTCTATGGTGGAACTCACCCGAGTTTCTCTTTTACCCATGAGACTGTTCCCCGCCCCCGAGCCACGGCTACTATCACCAAGCCGTTCCATCCAGAGCATTAGAAGCCGGTTCAAGTGATAGAAATTATTAGGAGGATTTGAGATAATTATAAGTAATTCCTCGAGTCTAGAAGAAACCTCAACAGAATGCAGAAAGCACTGGACGGCAGTTTCGTCCTATATTTGGGACTCATCAGCAGTGCGCATCCACTACTGAGAATTGAAAGCCGGACAGTTACAGGCAAACGTCATACCAACTCGGTGACGAAGAGGTAGTGAATCAGACTCGATATAGCGCTGCTCGATCACTCTAATCCGAGTTTATATATATATAGATATATATATATATATATATATATATATATGTGTGTGTGTGTGTGTGTGTGTGTGTGGTGCAGTTCAGTTTATATCAAAATGAATCATTCATACAAAAAGTAGATTAGTTAATGATATAAAATGGCGCAAACTCTTCGCAAACAAAATTTAAGAACCACTCGATGAATTTTATGATCTTTTTTTTAAATATCTACAAGCTGTATAAGGTCTTTTTTAATCTGCTAGTACTTTCAACTGTACATACAGTCATCCTCAGGCATGGAAATTATTTTGTTTTTAGTAAATCCAGTTAGTATCGGAGACGAAAGATTAAATGAGAATCGAAATATGTTTTTTTAGAAATGTGTTATTACCTACTTTTGTATGAATGATTCATTGTTATATATATATATATATATATATATATATATATATATATATATATATATATATATATATATATATATGATTTATATCTTTATATATGTATAGTTTTAAAATAGAAGTCGCTTTATATCTTAACTCTTTTGAAAGCAATATCAACAAGGCCTTTGAAATGAATCCAGGGAATCATCCACACCAGGTTTTGCTTTTCACTACCCAGTCAGAACTACAGAAATACCGGTTTACGCAAACACTACCGCTAATTGTATCGTAGATTTTAAAAGTATATAAATGTACTTACTGGTCCAAATGTAAAA